CTGAAATAATTTGTATTCTTCATATTACTTGTATGAATGGGTATCTAAAAGTAACAGAATAAGTCAGAATTAAAACTTACTCGTAAAGTAAGATCTGGGGATTCGAACATTCCGACACGCAAAGTGAATCACGCACGTGACTGGACAGAAAGTGAAGCTTAGTTTGTCATTGGTCACGTGATTTCTATGTTAACAACACAAGCTTCGAAATGAGGCTTCATCTGGCACGCCGCTTTATTCTCGACACAAGCTCCGATGCCTCGGTTCAAATGTCACATCACTAATTATAGACCCTTTTAGGGCCAACGTCACAATTACGTCACCGCACTAGCTGGAGGCAAAACAAAGGGGAAACTGGAGGCGGCCAATTCAAACCAGTGCAGATTCAGCTACATAAGGAGCTTAAAATATGAAGAGGTATATACTTTAAAATAATTATTTGTATCATTACATGACACATACATCTTCAAATAATATATCCATCAAAAAAACAAAAACAAAAACAAGCTAACAAACTTCATAGCTAGCATTAGTGAAGCGGTCAGGGGAATCTTTCTGCCTCCACCTAAGCTCCGCCCACAGGAAAACGTCACAATGTTTACTAACAGAAAAAGGGTCTATAAGCAGTGTTAAGAACATAACGATAACCTCATAAAGAACATCATGAGGACGGTGGCCACATCTGACAGATCTGACCGCATCAAATCAGCAGGACAGTAGCTAGTAGTAGGCTACATTAGTGGACAGTATGTAACCATGCTTGGTCATAGTCTGGCTCAGCGGCCACATAAACGAAATAAACAACAGTGACTAGGCAACTACATAGTAGGAAAATGTAGATTCATGTACCTGTACACTGGCGTGTAGGGGAGGTAGACGCTGGAGAATGGAGTGCTGCTAGTGATGGAGAAATAGGTGAATTAATGTTAGCACAGAGCTGTTCAGCTGCTTGAGCGTAGAATACGTGGGGGACGTTTCATTCATATTCGAAGCCGGAGGGTGCTCTCTCGCGCAGAAAGTACAAAACTGACTCATAGAAGTAACGTGACGTGCCAGGAAAACCCTAATATGGACAAAGGCATGTATAACGGCATCCAGCAATCTCTGCTGTAGATCTCTGCTGTAGCTAAGCAGCAAGGGGAAACACAGGGCAAACAAGAAATAAGAAACAACACCATTTATTTTTTATAGGTCAAGTATTGTGATTATTGCAACAGAATTCACAATGATTAAGCTACCTTGTGAAGCAACTGACTGGGTGGGCCCAGGCTACGCGACTGACACACAGATATAAGGACCAACAGCAGGCCTGTATATTTTTGCCATAGGATTTGTGGTGGTGACCTAAAATCATTATCACAAATAGAAGTATAATAATCTTTTTTTCAATAACATAATTTTTTTAATTTGAGGTCTAAGCACTGTAAATCGCAAACACCTCGTACTCTGCAGGATGGTCCTAAACATGCACCACTGCTCAGGTGCACAGAGCACTAGGTGGTAGAGGTCTGCGCGGGACTATTTAAAAATATATATTTTTTAATAGCTCCAGCAAGGTTATATTCCACACCCACCCGCTCCCGCTATATATTCACTCTTTGTTCACCCCGCTGTCTGCTTAGAATAATTTTCTTCCCGACCCGACTGTTCCCGCTAAATTTAGATCTCGTTTCCAGAATCTCACATTTAAATTTCCGCTACTGAAAGAGAGATAGGCTAACAAATAAAAGTGTAGTCTGCACAAAATTGTGTTATTTTATTCATCTTGTCAAGAGTCTTGAATTTATTGACTTTGACTTGAATTTATATGAATTATCTTAAGAGAAAAAATTTGTTTAATATTTTATGCAACACCGTAGGAAAGTGTCAGAGAAAATAAAAATGTTGTACAAAAATTGTATTTCTTATTTTTATTTGTCTTGTCAGGATA